TGAGAGATTTTCCACTGGTTAATCAATCATGGATGTTTGCCTGTTGGGTGGAAACAAAAAAAGTGCACAAGGAAGATAATAATAATAAAATAAATGTCACCAAATATAATTGGGCGGTCGTTAATATATAATACTAAAGTCTATGTGTGGGAAACACTGTATTCTATTGTATTCTTGTCACGATCACCAGCAATGACCCATTGCCCAGATTGCTGGAGAACTACACATGGGTCACTATATAAAATACATCTCCCAGAAGTCTTTACACTCACACACCAGGTCCTGATCCCCCTGAGTCCTGTATCCTGTAAGCGAGCATAATGAAGCATTTCCTTGTCTTGTCTTGCTTTGTTTTTTGACCCTTGCTATGTTTGTTGTTTATGTTGTTTTGCCACCTGTTCTATTAATTTGCCTGTTCTTTTGACTTCGCTTTTAATTACCTGCATGCTCATGTCTGTCCCTGTTTTAATCTTTATATGCCTGACGACTCTCTTAATAAACTTTCTTACCTCCACCTGCTGCTGAAGGTCTACAGCCCCAGTTGGGGTGTGATCACCACTTGTGGTGCCATCACAGAAAGGCTATAAGTCACTTTCCAAAATTTTTTCATTCAGTGTTGATGGAATAATCTTCCCATTCCCACTCGGATTGTTGAGACACTAATATCATTCAAGCGATAACTAAAAACTTATCTCCTCCGAGAACACCTGAACCCTGGTGAATGTTACTTTGAATGAAAAGCACATCTGGTATGTATTGCCTCTTCTTGTTGAATTGCTGAATACCTCCTCAATTGTAATTCACTTTGACAAATGCGTCTGTTAATGACTAAATGTAAAAGTAAACTGCATTTGGATTCTCAGCTCTGTGTAATTCTGACTCATTTCTATTCTATTCTATTCTATTCTATTCTATTCTATTCTATTCTATTCTATTCTATTCTATTCATTGTGCTTTAAAATCATTCTGTGGATATTGTGACCATTCGATTAACAGATTTGACTATTTTAACAGTGCTTTACATCTGACCATTTTCACTAAAACTCACACAATGACATCTAATAATATAGCTAATACCTTCTCCATAATTTATCAAATTATAGGGTATGCACATTATAAAATGTAATATTAACATGCCTTTAGCAATCCCAGCCTAACAAGGCCTGAATACAAGTTTCAAACTTTTGAGATCACATTAAGCTAGAAGAACATGAAACCGTGAAACAGCGTCTCGTCACAAATTATGCGTAGAATAAACATTTTGTCTGCATTATGTGTTCAGGGCTTTTAGAATTTCATGTTTGTTTGGACTCAAGTTTACTTCTATGCTTCAGTTTTGGAGAGCATTACTCCAGCGCGGCCTAATATGTGAGTTTTACCAGCATCTCTAAATCTTTAAACACTTCCGGAACAACATCTTTCTATAGAGATACACAGTCATCCTTGTCACTTGGTAGATTTATAGTGTTGCTGTTTGTGTAGAAGCATATATGTTTTGACACAACATGTTTTTAATGTCTCCTGCTGCTGCTGGGTCAGTCACGGTGCCCTAGATCTCATTGGCACAGCTGGTAGGAGAGACGAAGAGGGCACTGTCAGTCTGTCCACCTGAGAGAAATAGTCCAGAAAAACTTCAAATCTGCTGTTGATGTAGCCACAGGGACTATAGGCACTACTGTGACCTTTCTATTTTGCTTGACTTTGGAGAACGGGGTGTAAATCGTCAAGTGTCATCGCTGCAAGATACCAAGAGCCAAGGAAAAGTGTGAATGTACACCCGGCGGTGATCTGAAGCGAAGAGCAAAAAAGCAGCTGGTCAAAAAACTGCCGCCGAAGCTTTCAGAGCTGCAGACCGGTTGCGTTTATGGTTGTGTTCATTAGTGGAAATAAGAAGTATAAGTGCACTCCAAGAGGACTGTGGAAATCAATAGTCATGTAGAGTTTATCTGAAAACACACTGTATAATTAATGCTTCTATTGATTTGCTCTGCAGGGGAATGTCAGTTGTTGATCATTATTAGTATCGGAGACAGAAGGAACGCTATTTTGAAGATGAAGCCGGGAGGCAGTGCAAGACAACACTTCATCTTTTATGACCCTCTGCTAGATGTACTGAATATAGCTTCAGTGAAACAGGTGAAACATTTGTTTGATTGACAGTTAAGAGCTGCACACTGCAGTACAAATATAGCAGTCTTTACTGATCAGATTAGTTCAAATTCAATTTTGCCATAAACATATTGTCAATGTTGAAACATTACATGCATTTTCTTTTTCATTGTAGATTTTGTGATTATTTTGATCACGTTTTGTCAAACAAGGTGTTTTCATATTGACTAATCAAACCGATATCATTATAGTAATGGGGCTATATTGGTATTTCAGTTTGTATATAATAAATTTGTTTATTTATTCATGTATGCACAGTTCCCAGCATTGATGAGTACAGTCAAAGTCCCTTTAAGGCAAGTCATTTCACTTGGTTTCCATCTTTGAAACGCTTCTCGGGGAGTGTGCTTGGGCATTCTGTTTGAATGGGGAAACATCAAATTCTGTAAAACTGCTTGCCAAGTTTACGGTTAAATTTCATATTATGAAACAACAATCACATTAAGCAAAAACTGTCTCTTTAGTTTCATTTCTAAACGTTTGAGTTGCAGAAAATCTGCAGAAATTCATATCTGGTCCCAGCCCCTCCCCCGCAGAAATGTCATTCTATAGCAATCACTGATTAGCTCCTGTACTAGAAGGATTGATTCGCCATTTCGACTGTTACATTTTTCCCCATTCAAAACTATACAAGTGACATGTCTTGTGTATTCTAAAGTCTTTGGTGCAGTCCTTACAGATCTCTCTTTAAAACGAATACATTCTATAATAAAACATATGTATATACATTAGAATAGTACCAAAACCAATTCTGAAACTAATCTAAAAATGTGCTCAATCAGGCCCGTAGCCAGCCTGATGAACGGGGTGGTTCTTTTTTCTCAAAAAGTGACCCGTTTTGCAGTTAAACCTCTCATTTTCTATTTAATCATCAGACTTAAATACTGCATTTTAGTGCCGTTTTGAGCACTATTCTTAACTGGTTTAGCTTGTCAGATGCCCATCATAACCACACTTTTTAATGTACCAAAATATTATGAAAAATACTTATTTTTACAATACATATTTATGACATCACATATAATCAGAAAAAAATAGGAATCTGTTCAAGTTTTTAATTAAAAACTGTGACCTGTTTTCATTTATTAGACAAATGACAAACTGGCCAGCACATTCGACTTTCCTCAGTCAAAATATGGCCATTTAATTTAAGAGCTTCATGATTTGTCTAGCCTCACTTGTAAAAAAAAAAAAAAAAGTACATTTGATTGAAAATTCATGGATAATAACAATAACCAAGTTATTACTTAAATTTATTTTAATATGGGCCGCTTCACACCTTTCTATGTTTTAAAAAAAAAGTCTGAGATTTAGAATAAAAGTTAAAACTGACTAGCTGAAATCACTGATGTGATGGTCAACAGAGGATTCAGCTTGGTCTAAAAGCCTTTTTCGATGGATTTTTTTCACTATTTATGATGATGTAGCAGTCAAAATAGGACAAATGAGCTCATTTATGGGAAAAATTCCGGACCATTGTCATTGAGGGGAGGGTTTTTCGAACATCCAGAGCCCCCCTGGCTGCGGACCTGTTGGAGAACCATTAGAAAAAAAAAAAGAACCATAAACAAATATTAAATTTAGTTGAAACTATGCATGATTGTTCTAGTCCTAAAGATGTTAGGTGATAATAAAACAGTTTTATTTAAATGCACCAACATATAGTGTCTGTAATCACTGAGAAATGGACAAAAATCTACATTTTAAAAAATCCTTTGTGCTGTGCACTGTATGCATGTAAATACTGTATGCGACTGCACAAAACAACAACAATGCATCAAAATGAATGTTCCTGATAATTCACTCAACCAACCAACCCACCCTCCCAAAAAAAGAAATAAATAAATTATCTATAGCCTTCAGTATATGGAAAACAATAGATTTTATTGTTTTACATAAAAAACAACAACAGTGGCATTATGTAAACAAACTGTCATTTTTAGGGTTAAAATGCTTGAAATTAATGCATTTTTGGTAGTTATCATTAGGACTGATGCTGGTAAAGAAATTTATGTCAGTGAAAGTAAAAAATAAATGCAAATATGATACTTTCTTGGTATTTTTATCTTCTATGGACCTTTGTGTATCTTTTTTTAGTGAGCGCACAATAGTTAATCCTTTTATGGAAACATGATGCTTTAAAAAAAAAAACTGAATTCTCTGACAAACATGAATTAGCGGTCATCTATTAATTAATGAATGCAAATGATTGTTCTTTAAACCGAACTAACAAACTGTTAAGATTTTTTTAAAGGAGATCGCCATTTCAATAAACACTAAATGGATAAAAGATTTGGTGAAAAAGAGTTTATTTTAAAGAATCTCAAAACATCAACTGTGATTTTCCTGCAACATGTTCAGATCATTACCATACTGGCTTCATGACCAAGATTTTTATATAATTCAATTTTCTACTAAAGAGAAGTTGATATTGATATGTTTATACTGTATATCTCTTTCAGCCGTGTTTTTAAAGTACATATAATGTACATATATCTCCCTTTTAGAATGTATCTGATATTAGCGTCTCGTATGCTGAAGTCTACAGATGATGTTTGTACACACGGCTGTCAAAGGCTAAGACAGCGTCAGCCTCAATACAGAGTATATGACGAAGAGCTGCTACTGAAACTTTGTTCCCTGGGATCAAACGCTACACGAGCGATGCCTCCACAAACCCGCTGATTCATTTCTCCTTAAAGCTTCTTTTATATTAAACAAAGAAAAATAAAGTATAAGATCAAACGATTTACAGATCATTGTTTTCTCCCGTCTCTTCTACTTCAAATGACAACCAAAAAAAGAAAAACAACAACCTTTAAACGTGGCACTTAGAAAACATCCACAAGGAATTCTGATTTTTATTTTAGAACAAAATTTACAAAGCCATTCAAACAGTCTGTATTGTAGGTAATTACTTCTTTTAAACTCAACTTCAAAAAAATCATGAATATTCAAAATACACTTTGACTTCACTTTGCTGTCTCTCATTATATACAAATATGTACAGGCAAGGAAAAGTCAGCGTCTCACAGTCATATGTATCTGTACTGAAAAAAAGATTCTCTCTTCATATCTGTTTGTATGTGTACGTAATTGTATAAATGCAACCAGACCTGGTCCGAACGTTGGGGTGGGGGTCTGTGGCGGGCTGGTTGGCAGTCTTTTGGAACGCTCAGACCAGTCGGCTCAAATCGAGGTCCCATGGCTTGGATCAATGGCTTCTGGGATGGGTCCCCCGGGCACTGCCTGGTAAGAGATGGGCATAGGTGTCTTTACGGGGCTCTGGCGGAAAAGGCCTCCGTTGGGCGCCCGGTGTTTGCAGCGCATGGAGGGCGGCAGAGTGGAACTGCTGAGAGGGAGGGGGAGGCTCCGTCCGGGCACGCGGCCGACCCCAGGAGCCTCCTGGAGGAACGAGGTCACGGACAGGCCCCCAGGGGGAAAATCTCTCAGGGCCTCCTGGGAGCTCGGCTGCGGCCGCATGCTGCCCATGTCCAGGGCAGAGATCTCCAGAGGCTGACCTGGCAGCTGCTTGTGTGCCAGATCGTCCTCCATCAGCCCACTCAAACGGTGGTGAACCTGCTCCAGATTCACCTCTTTGTCCTGGGAACGACAAAGAAACGGCCAGATTGAGATGGGCTCTAAGGCGGAGGAAAGATGAAAGGGCTTGAATTGATTTGTGGGGTGGAAGGAAGAACAGAAAAGCAAAATTGAAAAGCAAAAAAAGATGGAAGAGCACTGAAGAAAGAACAGATGTCAATGGAAACAACGTGGAAGTGTGTGTGTGTGTGTGTGATCTCTTCGAGAAGAGCAGAAGGTGTTTACCAAGGGCTTCAACAATCATATCGGCTCTGATTAATGATAGCAATTACACACAGTAATACTGACAGGACAGAATAATCTCATCCAAATAAAGGCAAACCCATTTCGTCTTCCATCAGCTCCAGTGAGCAAAAAAGGTCTGAATGCTAAAATAGCTTCACATCTGAAAAGTTACGAAATCAATGATGCAAATGTGCGGGGAAACATGGGCCATAAATTGAATTTGGAACACAAGCTTTGGCGCTTCGATGTTTCAGGCTTATTTTGGAGGAGTCATGAAAAGGGTATTTCTTCATTCTTTGATATGCACTGGCGTGAAATAGCTTCGGTCATGCACCACTGATGCTGTGGCGTGCCACTTAATGAAAGAATCAAGCCAACATTAACAGCCTGCTAACTGCTTACATTTTTTTTTTTTTTGCAGAGTTCTGATGTCATTTAATTCTCATATCATGCATCCTCTGTGGGAGAGCGAGGAAGGTGGGCGCCATACTACGAAGCATCGCTGATAACCGCTACATCCTGGACTACTGTGTTAATCATTGTTCCTCCTCTCAGGTTCAGTAATGCATCCTTTCCATTTAAATGGGACAGTTCACCTCAAAATGATAATTCAGACATCATTTACCTTCCAATCCTGTGTGACTGCATTTCTACTTTAGTTTTATTATACGGATAAATCATGCTTTAAAAAAGCTTCTGTTGTGTTCTGTAGAAGAAAAAAAATGTTTGGGATGACTTGTTAGTTACAGTATGTTATGGGAGATACCAAACTGCTTTAATTTGATAAGATATACTGATTATTTCTTGAATTCTTGAACAAAATGTGTTTTAAATCTTCACATCTTCAGTAAATATGATTTGTAAATTAGGAACTGTTAACATATTTTTGTTTTTGTTTTCAACTTTGTGCATATTTTGATCTATTTTCAAGATGTAATATGTATAATTGAGAAATCATTGTAATGTTTTCTTTGAATGAGGGAATAGACTAATTTTCACATAATTGTGAATTAAATATTCTAGCCTACAAGACTTGTTACTCAAAAGTATTATTCAGACCCATTCAATGTGTTTTATGGAACTTATTTCAGCAACATTAATTTTCTCTAAAATATACAAAATATAACCACGCATATATATGCCTGAAATGTGTGCAGCTGGATATTACACACACACGCACACACACACACACACGCACGCACGCACACACGCACACACACACAAACACACACACACACATGTAATATCCAGCTGCACACATTTCAGGCACACACATTCTAGCACACACAAACTAGGCAAACCATATATGGTTACGACAAATGTTAATGTGATTAACGACTTCTCTGACATTATGCAATAGCACGATCGTGTATACTATTTTACAAACATGGCAATCGAGACGGGCGAATGAGGAACATTGTTTCTGATCGTCATTCAATATAATCAACTGAACAGTTTTCTATCAGTCTTCATAAATGATCAGTCATTATTTATCTGACAGAGTCAGTATAGCAGATACTCATTTGCTGGCCTTGCTGAAACATTTTTCAGAAATATATAAACAATCTAAATTGGACAGGTTTAATTTATATAATGGATTCAATATAATAAAGGAAATAATAGTAAGTTAATATGTATAGGCTGTAATACATCTTTATATGTAATATAAATCTTTTTACATTTAATAAATGTATCACACTATATAAATATTTTACTCCAGTGATTGAATAGTATTTATTTGCTTAATTTACTAATAACTTTTTATTAAAATAATGATTACCCACATTAAATACTATAGAAAATCAAAGTAATATATTGTTTTTAAACCATAAAGTACTGGTAATTAGTTGCAACAAAGAAAAGTAATACTATTAAATTAACCTTTAATAATAATAAAAATAATTTTATATATACATATATATATATATATATATATATTTTTTTTTTTTACTAACAGTTGCTACAGCTTAGTAAAAGATACAGTAGTTCATCAGTTTATAACTATATTAATTTTAAATTATTAACTATAGTAACTCATTTTAATGTGACACATTATTGTTTTTTTTTTTATTTGACTACAAAACAATTTTAACTAAGTATGACAACATTAAGATCCTGAATTAGTTTATTCCTTTTAATCCCACAATTAGACGGCCAATTATGTTTTCTTAGTGTATGTTGATATGTGAATAAAGTTATAAGTGTTTAACAAATTATTTTTATTTACATAATTTGAGTTCCAAAACTGCAATATTGTTAATGTTAAAACGATTGTTACGATACAATAATGAAATAATGACTGAGATGGGAAACTCTAAACTGTTCACAGTCTAACGAATGGCAATCATAGCACGGGCGGTCTCGATTGCCATATTTTTGAAATACAGTAGGTGGCGATAATGCTCCTAAGGAGTAAGTTATAGTTAAACAAGAAAAAATAGAAGAAGACTGATCCAACATTAACCATATATGTTGCGCCCCTGCCTAGATTGTGTGTGCCTGAAACGTGTGTGGGTCTGCGGGTCTGCAGCTGGATATATCTCAGCATGTACATTAATATTTCTCACATATCATTGAGGCACAGTTTGTGCTGAATGCAAAAAAATACATGTTGGCCAATACTATGTAATAAGTGGCTGAAAAAGGCACAAATTTCAGTTCATGTCAAAACATCTTATGGGACCCAAAATCACCTCAGATCCCAGAGAGTTAATAAGGCATCAATACTAAATTAGCTTGCGAGTATCAATATAGTGATACTTAAGCATTGATGTTCCCACCTCTAGGGTAACTTCCTTCTATTTAGGGTGAACTCTCCCTAGTACCATGGTCAATACCATGTACGAATCAACTGTATATTCCAAAGCTCTGTACCATTTCTTGGTAATTAGAGGTGTCACATTATGGGACTATGTTTCTGAGTCATAAGATCAATGGATAGATAATTACTGTAGAGCTCATGCAGCTGTAATAGAAAGTCTGAATGTGCCTCTAATTAAAAATGCATTAATTTGCCATTAAAATACACCCAATTTGGGGCACTTACAGCCGTGACAAACAACACAACTGGAGGCCAATCTCCTTTTTTGGATTCCAGATTGCAATGTTTTGGGATTTTATCGATGTGTGGCCATTGAATGGGTGATCTGATGGATGACAAACAGATGATGAATTTGATGAGTGCGTGGAGCGAAATGGAGAGACACACAGTGGGATTCCTGTTAGTGCTGCTTTGGCAAAGAAATTCTATGAGTAAAATCGTCCCCTTTTTTTAGCTAGCTAAAGAGAAAGTTTGTATTAATTCACACAATATGGATGAATTAATCTCTCTGACTCTGCATGTGTGCCATCAGTTAGTTCTCTATGCATGAGGGAGTCATAATTACCTCACCACCCACATCCACAAGTGCAATCTGATTGATTTAGTGTCCTAACCCCCTCCAGGAGGACACTTGCTCCTCTTCTAAATGACTCTATTTTGTCAAGCCCCGTTCACCCCACTGACAGGTATCCCTGCTCAGGTCTCGGCTGACCTGTGTAAAAAGCCTGCGTGTCTTCCCAGTCTCTTTCTCTCTCTGGCCAAACGTCCCGTGCGCATCCTGCAGCAGGTGCGATTTCATTATATGCCAATGACCCAGACACCATCTCCAGAGCGCAGCCCTTAGTGTCCTGCATGAGACCATAAAGAACCGGTGACTGCCTGGACATTGGCATATAATTGCAATAAGAAGACACAGAGAGGGGATATAAAACGTAAAATGTGCAAAGTTGGTTATTGTGTTGTTCTTATTGCTTGCCAGAGCTCAGATCGCTCCCTTCATAAAGTGCATAACCAAAAACCATACATAAATAAACAAACACTCAGACTGTACAGGCATACGCAGACTGAACACCCTTAAGCAAGAGCAAGAGTTGGTGAAAGCAATATAGCCTGAATTCTAGTAGAAGTTCTTCATCTGTGTGCCGATAATTCAAATCCAGTCACATTTCAAGCAGTTGACTAATGGTGGTCGTAAAACTGATGTCTGATCATTATTATTCAAGAGTGTCTATAAAATTTAATCTTACATTATCGACTATCAACGTTCCTGAACTGTAATAATATGTGCTTTATGAGCTGTTGCTCTCACCAACGGGTTTGCTTCGGCTCAAGCTATCACCAAAGTGAAAAGAGAGAAGGAGAGGAGACAAGGACGGAAGAGTAACTGCAGAACACTTCAACATGAGTCAATAAGTCACTGGCTTTCTCATTGCACACACTTTAGTTTAGGGATCCAGGTATATCCTTTGCCTAAAGCCTAGAACGAGCAGAGAAAGTGGGATTGACAGAAATTGCAAATTGGGGATGTTTGTATGCTGAAAGTTACTTGGAAACAACTATTCAACGAAAGGAACTGTACTTGTCGTTGGCCAGAACATAGAGTTAATGAGTTTGATCACAAAAGCCGTTATCTCCACTTTGATGGATAATGCATCTTAAGCAGAAACATACGTAACTATTTTCTGTAGTTCCAAACTCCTTGTTTTGTGGAACACAAAAGAAGATATTCATATGAATGCTTTAGCTCTTTGTGTAAATTATAAAATCAATGGCTGCAAAACATTTAAGCTCCAAAAAGGACATGAAATCAATGTGAAATTAATTCCAAATACGATGACATGAAATAAAGCTAACGTCAATTCTAATTGTTTTTCACATCACGTGACACACACATCGGTGGCTCAACTAAATGGAATAATTTGTCCTGTCTGGAGCTTAAGAGGTTTAGATCCCTTTGATTTTAATAATTTAGTAAAAACAGCAGCAGAAGGGGCAGAATGATTTCAAAGATTAATGGATTATAGAAAAAATGGTAGGTTCTATCAATTAATTACTGATTGGATTTTAAGAAGCCGATGTTACTCTGAAAAGCAGATAAATGCAAGCAAGCATGCAGGGATGGCATTTAAGCCGACTAAATAATTGGAGACGTCTGGCATTCATCAGCCTAAAATTACAATTTGCTGTTAATTTACTCACCCTCAGGCCATCCAAGATGTGGAAAAATAACTAGTTTTTCTCCAGTGTAACATTAAGGAACATTTTAGCTGAAACTGTGGTGATTTATGTAATTTGACCATGGCTCCTAATGATACACTGAGGTCTTATGAAGTGATCAGTCTGTATCAGAAATTGAACATTGTTTACAACATTTTTACCTGTGATCCACAGCTTCAGGCAAAGGGTCCAGAGTGACCTCCGGTGAACAAATCATTCTTTCAAAATTGCACTTTTAGAGAACCGAATGAGCCAGTTGACCAAATCAGACTGAACTCTCTGAAACAGTGTGCGTTTCAAACCAGCACAGATCTGTAAGTTACTCAATCAAAACTTACTTTCTGACATGTCAGTTACTTCTACAATACATGAGCCAATATATTTGCGTATGTGATAGAGAGATTGTTAATACCTTCAGCTCTCCAATTACTCCAACAGAAACTGAACAAGGGAGAGAGTTCTGACTTGGACCAAAGAACAGATGAGCTGGTGGGAAGTGCATGTGTGAACTGGGTACTCTAATGAAGGGGCCAATTTAAAGTTTTTATGGTTTCTCATGGTTCATATAAAAAGGTAAGTTGATAAAGACTAGTTTATTTTCTTTATATCTTTTATACATGTCAAAACATTTATGTTTTATATCATTATTGGTGCTTATATTATGTAATTTTATAAATTACATTGCTGCATGACTAGAACCTATGAAATGCACAGTTCTTTTGAACCCAAAAGAAACTATCAGAAAGAACCAATTCACTGAAAAAGAATCAGACTAAACTTATTTACTCGAAGCTGTGGAAAGCATGTTATAATGTTGTAAATAATGTTACGTTTCTTTCACAGACTGACCATTTTACATTATAAGACCTCAGTAAATTCATAAGGCACAGATTTTAATTTTTAATTTAATGGTGAAGGTAATTTACCAAGCAACGTTGTTTCAACTCTTTAGTCTTCATTAATGTTCTACTGAAAGATATTTTGAATGGCCTGAGAGTAAGTAAATTAACTGCAAAATCTCACTTTTAGGTGAATTTTAAATAAAGATGTGTAAAAGAACAAAACAAATGCATGAATAAATGAGATAATAACATGCATTTAAAAACAGATGAGCTGAATTTACATTTCATGCAAGTTTTAAGCATTCTCCAAATTATCTTTCTGTGTTCTACAAAAGAAAGTCAGTGATAGGGGATTGGAACAACACAGGGGTGAGTAAATGATGACAGTTTTCATTTTTTTTGTGAACTAGTCCTTCAAGTAATCTTATAATTGTTTTCTTAGGTGCTTTTTCTTGAGTGACTCCCTTCACCCTTCCCTCTTGCCTTCTCTTTGGCAACACTTCAGCAAACGGGAGGCAGTAAGTATTTGATGGTCACACCTATAGCTGGGTGTACTGGAGCTCGACTAAATCGGGGCTTGCGTCAGTGGCGTCTGGATCCATAAAGTAGAGTGTGGCAGTGGTTGTACAGTCCTGGGCGCGGTGGGCAGGGGTTGGCCGTAGTTTGGCCGCCTGTGGGGTCACCTCTTTGGGCTGTGCCCGCTGGCAGCGTGGCCCGTTCCACCAGGACTCCAGAGCAGCCACCAGGCAGGCCAGCAGCAGCCCTGCTGCGAGGATGCAGAAGACCCCCGCGAAGCTGTGCAGTCTCAGGGCACGGCCTTCCGTCTGGGGCTCTGCATGCTTGTCAAGGTCACAGCGACCTTTTCTCGGCCACCACTTCTGCTTTAAAATGTCAAGATCTCCTTTCTCCTGCAGGTCAAGTATCCTGAAGTGGAGAGAAAATAGCTTGTTATGAGAACAGTGGCATATATTTTTCATTATTTGCTTCTAGTACATCCTGGCTGTTTGGATGTACTAACTCAAGCATCTATGATTGGAGATTTATTGCAGTGATGACAATGCTTCTGGCTTGTTAAATTTTATGTATGGCAACATAAAAGAGAACCAATATACACTGTCGTGTGCAGTATTGTATTTTGTAAATGTGAGAAGATATATCCCCTATTCTGTTATATTCCAGGATGACAATAAGATCTGCCCTGTGAAAGAAGGCTTTATTTTCACTCACCAATTGACCAGCAACAGATCTGAACCCTATTGAAAGTCTTAAGATGAGTTGGAGTAGATTTTACAGAGAGATTCTCTTCAGGGTCAGACAGAGACCATATTTAGGATTCATGGCCATGGTATTTGTTTTTCAACGTATGTTTTTTCCAGGGTTGGGGAAAAAAAGGTATTTATTTTTGTATTACTTTTGGTTCTCTTTTACTTTCTATTTAATAAATGTAGCTGTCATGTTCATGTATGTATAGAGGTCAAGAGGGCCAGGCTCTGTGGTGCAAAGGCCAGATAATACAGAATGCTTGATGAGTAATGGACTGCACCCAGCCAATACCTTGAACACCAGTTGTTTACTTGTGTGTATAAATGCGGGTCGGGGGAGAGATTTGTTGTTGCAGATTGCCTAAACATAACGTTAAGGGACAGCCCGGAGCTCTGTATATCGTATTATTCATTTGTATTCAATTAGTTGCTCATATTTTAGCCATTGAAAACCCTCTCCTGACTTCTCACACTTAGACACATGCACAGAATTGGCTAACATTCCAACATGAGGTACTGTAGGCACAAACCGAATCTGCGATTTCTGCAGACTTTTAGCCCATCATTGACTCTTATTTATTTACTTGTGTAAATGTATGTAAATGTATATTTATTCATTTTTTTATTTATTTTATTAATAATATTGACTAATACGAAAGTGTTCTTTTGATTTATTTACAATTTTAGTAGATATATAACATGATAGAGTTGCTTTGTTTACCAAATAAGTGGATCTAGATTGGCTTGCATTGTAAACATGAAATAAAAGTTAAAAAGATTCTCAAAACTCTTAGCAGAAATAGCAAAAAATGACTGCAGATTCTGTCTGGCCCTAGGTATTAGGTATAATTAGATATATATTAGGTATCCCATTTTTTTTAAAGCTACTGCATAGTTGAGCTTTTTCCAAAACTATTAGCAAGGTGACAGACTAAAAGGAGATAATGTGGCAAATATTACATTTAGTGGTCAAGGAACAAGACAGAGTGAAGGAACAAAACAAATGATCGAAATGTAATACTGGCTTTCAAATAATAATAAAAAACCCTTCGCAATTATCTCTTTAATTAAAAGGCAGAGATATAAGGTTCTCAAATAGTGTGAACAAACTTTGCAAAGCGCTGAAAAAAACTTGAGCAGTGGCAATGAACATTTGCTCTTCTGCAGGATCTCAATTTTAATTAGCTTTCTCTTTATCCATTGACTCGGTTTATTCTTAGTCAGGTATTTCAATGCAGGAGACGTTCAGAAATGCAGATGTATTTGTAAAGAATCCAGAGGAAAAGGTCAATAACTAGGTGCTAGCTAAGAAAATGTCAAAGGTTGAAAAAATAAAGTCTGCCCGACTGCAGTTGTCCTGGGTATTAATTTAAAATGTGTTTGATTCTAATTCCCCCTACCAGTCTGGCAGGTGATTGCAGAGGATTCTTCATGAAAATGCATTTTAAGGCCCTGATGCGCCAGATATGTGCATTATTAATTGCCGGTGAGCTTACCTCCCTAAAGCTAATTAGTATGTGAGTGGAGCGGAGCATCGGTACAAGCTGAAAATATGAATGCAAATTATAGTCAAACAAATGAAGGGCTGCAGGGTGAGGTGGTTTAAAGCAGCGGAGAGAAGAAAGGATGGGTAGGAATGAAGATAAATGCGCTGAGAAGCAGACACTGGTGATTCAACACGATTCATGGGTTCTCCGGCAAGACTGCGTCTGCCAAGGAAATAAATGTAATGTAAATGAGAGAAAGGACAGATGATGAAAGGAAAAGGGAAGCAATCCATCACAGTCATGCAGTGTGATGTTTACGAAGCTATGGAGCTTGATATTGACTTGAAATGATTGAAACGGTGTTGTCTATCCTTCAGCTTCTTTAACGACTTGTATCGCTATGAAGGGAGGTGCTCACTTCTGCGAGAAGAGGTCTCTGTAGGGGCTGCCATGCTGCAGAGCCAGGCCGTATCCTTTACTGCTCATGCCGTTTCCAGTGACCACCAGCGTACAATCATCATCTGTCAGAGCTGCATACTCTAACACCGCCATGTCCCACAGAAAAGCGTATGGATCCCGCTTCACCTGGGGGATAACACACACACATGTATGGCACAATGTTTAATTTGCTGATTCGTGACAGAACATCGCGGCGGGGTTTTGTGTTTTTGATAACAGTAACATAAACATATCTCCAGGTTATGGGGAGACGGAGAGCTTCTCCTTTCAGTCATTCAGCTCTTGTCAGACAGGTCACAGACATCATTCAAAATGAAAGATGTTTATATTTCAGTGAAAGTCATGAGATGGCTTTGAACTTGTTTCTAGCCTCCCCCGCTTTCTTTGTCAGGACATTTCATTCTCTCTCCCTTGGGAAAATGGCTTTCCCCATTCTACTAAATAAAGCAGCACAAGCGTCCTCTTTCCTCTCCGTCTCTTTTAAAGTCAGGCTCTATCGCAGCCACACGGTTATGACAAACTTTCATATGACAAGTACAAAGGCAGGAAAAACGGATGTCAAAGAAGAAATGACAAAAAGCTCTCGTCCCCTAGCTCTTCCATATAAACATGAAATTTTCCCTATCTCTTTGTAAAGCACTAGAAAAACCCGCCACAGGCTGAAATGATATTTATAGCTTGTCTTTAAAGTGTACATCTATTAGCAGGGTTTGTGCGCTCTCAACCAATTCAAGCACTGATTTCAAATTAGTCAGTATAGAAAGTGATCAGTTACACAAAGAATAACCTCTAATAAAACAGTATGAAACAAACCAGTTATTCCATTGTTTCTACAGGAACCTTTATGCATCAGTTTTTTTTTATTAAATAAAATGATACATTTTAATTATTATGAAGGTCACATTAAAACTCTTTTTGATTGTTCCCGCCATCAACCATTTATTTTTGCTAAAGGCATAAAAAAAATCCTTTTTAAGTAAAAGATCACAGTGTTCAGATTCAAGGGTACTGACATGTTTGAACAGGTTCATTTGTATGAATTCAGTTTATACACTGTAAAAAAAAATTAAGTCAGTACAACAACAACAACAACAACAACAACAACAACAACAACAACAACAACAACAACAACAACAACAACAACAACAACAACAACAACAACAACAACAACAACAACAACAACAACAAAAACATAATCCTTATTTCCTTTAGCTTTTTCTTTTTGAAAACATCAGCTGCACTGACCTAAAATGATTGGTCAGTAATACAAAAACATTTAGTTGGGCTAACATAAGATTATAAGTTTTCTGAAGGGGTGAACTAGTTTGTAGCAAAACCTTTTAAGTTGTGCCAACAGAACATTTTTTTTGTCAGCAGAACAGAAATGCCTGTAGTTGAGTGAAAAAAAAAACAATCCTATTTTTTTTTCGCTTTTTCTCATGTACTCAACATTTTTATTTATTCATTTTCTTTTTGGCCTAGTCCTTTTATTAATCAGGGGTTGCCACAGCGAAATGAACCGCATACTTATGCAGGACATGTTATACGCAACGGATGCCCTTGACTCATCACTGGGAAACACCCACACACTCTTGCACACACTCACATACACTATGGCCAATTTAGCTTATTCAATTCACCTATAGTACATGATATTTTGATAATATATTACTTTCTAGTACCAATTTCAGAAAGAGTTATTTTGTTCACTCAACTATAGACATTTTAGATCAGTGCAACAGATGTTTTAAAAGACTGAGTGCACGTCGGCACCAATGGTGTACTGGTGTACATCAACACATGGCTCTCCAGTGTTTACAGTGACCCAAGTTTGATTCCTATATCTTGAGGTCCTTAGCCGATTCTTCCCCTCTCTCCTCTCCCTACGCGTTCCTGTCCATACTCTCTACTGTCCAATCAATTAAAGGTGATACACAATGTTAAGTACATTAGAAAAAAAGGATATAAGGATTATGTTTTTCCCCCATTCAACTTCAGGCATTCCAGTTCTGCAGACTAAAAATGTTCAGTTGGCACAACTTAAAAAAGTTTTGTTACAGAGTAGTTCACTTCTCCAGAAAACTAATTATCTTTTAACCCATCTAAATGTTTTTTGTATAACTGACAAATCATTTTAGGTCAGTGCAGCTGGTGTTATCAAAAGTTAAGTGAGCAAGAAAAAGCTAAAGGAAATAAACATCATGTTTTTTTTTGTTGTTGTTGTTGTACTGACTTATTTTTTTACAGTATATAATAACACATTTATTTATTTACTTTAAAACAACTGGAAATTGTGTTAAACTGTCCTTTAGTTGTGCTCTCCTTTCATTCTCATAAAATATTCACAAAAATAAAACAATTACATAAAAAATGACTACAAGGTGTAAAATGTGTGCTGTGGGAGAATTTATTTTCTCTTCCACATGGACAAAAGTAGCCACAGTTGAAGAAACACTTGCATATCTGTTGGGCAATTACTGGCAGTTAAACACTTCACAGCATGGATGGCCTGACAATGGCATTATTTAACACCATCCAACATGCGGGGGTGCAGCCATACAGGCCTCTATTTCTCTGTGTCTTATCTCTTTTCATTATTCTGCTTAAGAAATCAATTCTCTGACTGCTGAATTGTTAGCTTAATAGCCAGTTATGTAACTAGGCTGAAAACTCTCATAAAGAGATTCATGGTTGTGTTGATGTCTCTTGTGAAAAGCATGCCAGTGGATATGCACACTCTGTGACAATAAGACGAGCTGTGAAATTTAATAGCTGCAATTTTTGAAGTTTTATCAAAGGGTTTGATGTGGATATTGAGTTTTTTAAAGATTTTCTTGGCATCAGCAGTAACAGTTTATATACAAAGTGACTTTGAAAGTTCTACCAAACATGCATAAACATATGAACGCATTCAGCAGCATATGAATTGTAATTTTTATGATTCACACAATATGGAAGGATCGTCTGAGCCATGAATATTTATCTCAGTATTTATCTCTCTTGCATTTTGTCATGTTTTCTGTCAGACTTCCATGCTACATTTCCTTTTCTTTCTTTAATGGTAAAAGATGCCAAAACAGCCCTGTTAAAAATCCAAACAGGCTGCATTTTACTAAGACAACTTCTGTTTTCTATGGAATATAAAGAGTTTCCAGCCAGAGACAGCCAAACGACATCAGGCACATGTGCAGAGAAATAGTATGGCAAATGTTACATTTGAGATCAGCACCATGGATAGTTCTCATTAACTAGTAACCAGCAGAAATTCAGTACCATGGACAGCTCTCAATAAACCAGTATACTGCAGAAATTCAGCACAAAGGACAGCTTTCAGCAGACATCTATTAATCCAAATATCATCCATTAATTTTCTTTTCAGCTCAGTCCCTTTATTGATCTGGGGTCGCCACAGCGGAATGAATTACTAATTTAACCAGTATTTGTTTTATGCAGCAGATGCCTTCCAGCCACAACCAACACTGAGAAACACCCATATACTCTTGCATTCACACACACTATGGCCAATTTAGCTTATTCAATTCACCTGTACCGCATGTCTTTGGATTGTGGGAGAAACCGGCAACCTTCTTTCTCTGAGGTGATCATGCTACCCACTGCGCGACCATGACGCCCCCAGACATCCAACAGCAGATATTAATTGAGGACTTATGCCATTTGTTGTAAAGTTGTAAAATAAGTCTCTGATGCCCCTAGAATGTGTAAAGTATGTGAAGTTTCAGTTCAAAAATACCCTACACATAATGGTTTATAACTCTTTTAAACTGCCCTTAGGGGCGACACGGTGGCACATTAGGTAGTGATGTCGCCTCACAGCTGGCTCAGTTGACATTTCAGTGTGGAGTTTTCATGTTCTCTCCGCATTCGCGTGGGTTTCCTTCCGGATGCACGGGTTTCCCCCACAGTCCAAAGAGATGCAGTACAGGAGATATAAGGAAGTCTAAATTGTCCGCACTGTATGAATGTAAATGAGAGTGTATGGATGTTTCCCAGAGATGGGTTGCAGCTGGAAGAGCATCCACTGCGTAAAATGCTGTAATAAATTGGTGGTTCATTCCGCTGTGGCGACCCCCGATTAATAAAGAGACTAAGCCAAATAGAAAATTAATGAATTTAAACGGCCCCAGTTGTGCCGTTTTGTTGACTGTCTCTTTAAATTTGAATACGATTTGTGCTCCCAAGCCTCTTTTTAAAAGAGTGTGGAGCTACATATGTCTGTGTGTCAGCATAGTGGCAGATTCAAAAATAAGACTAATGTCCTATGCCAGTGGTTCTCAAACTTTTTTTTATCAAGTACCACACCTCAGAATACAATTGTCTCTCCAATTAACACAATACAGAGCAGTATTGAAATAAAGTAGCGTAGCTGGCCCAGTAAAGCAGCTCTAGCTTTGCATAGTTCAAAAATGTTGCAGATTAATTTCCACTTTTAAGAATATTTATTATTGTCAGTCACTTTAAACATTATAAATAGTCTGAACATTAACACTGTAATGTGCTTATTTGTAAAAAACAAACAAAAACAAAAAACATCAACATTTAAATTAAAATGTTCTTTCAAAAGTTAAAAAATAGTAGGTTACTGTTCTTAAAGAAAAAGAAAAAAAATCCTGTACTTAAATGTAAAGTATTAACATATAGTAGCCAACACATCAACACCTGCAAATGTTGCCTGGATCTCAGAATATAGGCTATATGTTAACATATTTTTACATATAAATATTTTTTGATAAATTTTTAAATATATGTAGCATGTACACATGACATATTTGATTCCTCCTCGTACCACTAGAATGAAGCCTGCATACCACTAGTGGTACACGTACCACAGCTTGAGAATCATTGTCCTATGCTAATGAGGGAGAGATCATCACCAATGGGTGAGCTTTCCCCTTCTGATGACATATACAAAGAGAGAATGTCAATCAAAGTGTTTCTACAGACTGTTTTTATCAAGTGTGATTATAAAAAATAATAATAATAATAATTAATAGATTTTTACCAGAAGAAGCTGGTTATATTTACAGACTGTTGCCACAGCTCTGTTTAAACCTCTTATTAAGTCATAATAGGACCCCTTTATGTATTTACAGATTAATGTCTTATCTAATCAGCTGTTTCAAGTGCTGTGCAATATTATGTAGAACATATTATTCTATAACTGAACATAAAGGCTTTTCTTTAATGGTCAGTTAAATGGATTAACATAGTGTAATTCAATATAATTTGCTGATAGGTCTTTATTACTCAACAAGCTCATCTGAACATGTTGTTTTAGGATATATATTAAATGTTTGAAAGTCATAACATGAAAAAAAGCACAAGAACCTATGAATGTTCACATAACCTTTAGAATTATTTATATTAATATATTACTAAGCACAGTCTATAATCTAGTATAAGTACTTATTCCTTCATGCTGTGGTAAAACATTATAGACATTTATTTATTATTTTTGTACATGTCTCATTTTGTTAAAGGCTTTGGGTAATCTATTATATATTATTTCTCCAGGAAATGACAATATGACAATCAGCGTCTTTGTTCTCTTTCTCTGTAAACACTCAATTTCGACACAGCGTTTTATATTCAGGTGCAAATTAAATCTAATACTCTTATAGTCTACTACAATTCATACCTTTCCAGACTGTAATATATTTTAAATGTTTTTAAAGAAGTGCTGATTAAGGCTGACTTCAGCCAAAACCGTGCATATTATTACAATTCTATCAAGTTTAAAGATGTATTTCATGTCATTTATTCCTTATATATATATATATATATATATATATATATATATATATATATATATATATATATATATATATATATTTTTTTTTTTTTTTTAAACTTGACGCATGCGTTTTAAATTCTATGACAAGTATTAGGGTATCTTAAACTCTTGCAAAAGCCAGCAGTCTTGATCTCATTTTCCACCTGATTTGTAAGTGGCAGGACGTGTTTGTGTGATACCTTGCGGATGCCTTCAGCAGGAGAGGTCACAGAGTTGTCCTGTCCCTGATTTTTATTGATAGTTCTCCACAGCTCTGCGAATGTGCTGTCTTGCTCCAGGGGGTTTGTGCCCTTCACCCTGAAGTACTCGAACACAGCCGACTCTCTCACCGTTCCGTAGTTTATCTCTGACTGCTTGGAAAGGTCTTGAAAAGTTCTGAATAGAGTAGAAAAGTAAGAAAATGTATCAGTCACACATTCCTCAAAATGCACTTTACATTAAAAACAAAACAACAACAAACACTAATTTAATAACAATGTGGAACACTGCAAATTTAGCTAATTAATATGCCTACGGTGTATGCTAAGAAGTATTGATGCCTGATGTTCAGAAAGTGCTTGCTAAATTGCCACTGTGTTCACAGGCATGTGCCAGATGATTTGATTCATAATTTTAGTGTTTAAACAATCTGGAAGTCTAGACATGCCTCAAAGGACAGCAAAAAGCTGTGAATGTTACATTTCACAACCTGCCTAAACAGTGTGAGAAGAGCATCAAACAATTAAAACCACACTGTCACTGGAACCAAACATTGGAACACATCGTATGGAGCTTTTCAGCCTAATGAATATCATGAAGACAACAATGTAAATGCACGCACACGCACACGAACACACACACATACATTTTATTGTTTCTTGCTCTATTTGAATTTGCATAAACAAAGCTGGCAAAAAAACTCACTGCCAAAAAAATAACATTTCTGAAAATTCATATGTCTTACTAATTCAGATACGAAATGAATGACATTAAATCACTATTAATAACCATAGTGAAATAGAAACAAATAGAAAATCACATGCAAAAAAATTCAATAAAAATGTATTTTTTAAATATATTATTTGCTGTTAGGAATTTTTATTTTATTTTTTTTAACTATAGTGTTATTTTTTTTACTCCATCATTGTCTAGTTTTTGGAAGTTTCAAAAAAAGTTTATTTATTTTAAATTTAAGTTTAAATTTATTTTTTCCCCAATTTCTGTTTAACTGAGAGATTTATTCAACACATTTTTAAACATAATAGTTTTAAAAACTAATTTCTAATAACTGATTTATTTTATCTTTGCCATGATGACACTAAATAACATTTGACTAGATATTTTTCAAGACACTTCTATACAGCTTAAAGTGACATTTAAAGGCTTAACTAGGTTAATTTCGGTTACTTGACAGGTTAGGGTAATCAGGCAAGTTATTGTATACCGATGGTTTGTTCTGTAGACGAAACAAATATATAGCTTAAAGGGGTTAATAATTTTGACCTTAAAATAGTTAAAAACAATTAAAAACTGCTTTTTATCATAGTGGGAAAAAAAACTAAATAAACTTTCTCTAGAAGAAAAACAATTATCAGACATATTGTGAAAATTTCCTTGCTCTATTAAACATAATTTATGAAATATAAAAAAATTAAAATCAAAGGCAAATATATATGTGTGTGTGTGTGTGTGTGTGTGTGTGTGTGTGTGTGTGTGTGTGTGTGTGTGCGTGTGTGTGTGTGCGTGCAGTTTTCCTATTGTAAATTTGATTAATATATATGAATAACTCTTTACTTAAATAGAAAAACATTTCAAGTCATGATAGCCCAGACGATTTGTCCTTCACCTCTCCATGACTCCATTTCTCTCATATGTGCTCATGAATCACAGAGATATAGGGTCAAGCTACTGACTGCTGTATTTCCATTGGGTAATATGGGGTTAATGAAAGAGCCTTATCTACTAAAAACATTACAGCATGAACTGGTTCTGCTAGCACCAATCTAACAGCATGAAGACCTTCAGGTGTTTTACAATTGCTCATGCAACTATTTATGCAAATAGTATGCAATGTATGTATGTTTTCTATTTAAATGTTTGCCCAAGGCAGCGGGTTACAAAGCTGCTTTGTAAATTAAAGTATTGTGAAAAGTTGTAATCCAATGTATTTTAATTGCATCATGTGTGGCTTTGAAATTTGTTTTCAGTTCAGATTTCTTCATGCCACACTGTAACAATCTCTGAATTTACTGTGCACACACGTTGAATGAAGATTCAAAAAGGTTGTAGTAAAATACAAATTAATTAGTTTTTCTTTGGTATATTGATAAAAGTCTTCTAGTTAAGTGTTTTGGCCTACCTTTAGTCACTTAGCATTAACCATGTGATTTCTAAAACAGAACCTAAAGCCTTTATGGTGTTTATTTTGTGACAGAACTTATGGGATATACTGTAGAAAACAATGGCACAAATACATTTACAAATATCTGATGATATTTTTAGCAGCTGCAAATGCTTGGAAAACTTGAATAAATGAGTCAAAACAACACCAAGAATACACCCGTCACACACAAATGAAGATCTGCTGCATTTCAGAACCTTGTAAACAGGCAATATTGTGAAAATGATGAGAATAAAAAGCCATTCTGTCCTTTTTTATGACTGAATCCTGTGACATCATGTTCTATTCTTGTACTTTTTGAATGTCTTTGGTCTGTGTTCTGCTCATATTTCAGCCAAACTGCTCTAGAGTTCAACTGTAAGTGGACTGAGACTCACCTTTTCAGGGGTCTGTGCCCATTTGTTTGGTGTGCACTGAGATTCAGATGACAGCCTTCACCACTTATTCAACCGAACCACACAAACAGAGCAATCATATCGGAGTTCATTTTAAGCAAGCCAAACCTGCAGAGTGTGAACAAGTGCGACGCTTTTCCACTTCAGAGATTATTACAATTTTAGAGCTCCTGCAACAATTAGTCTCTAATGCAAATGCACAGTAGGCGGCACTGAAACTGGCACAAATGAAGAACGGATGCATAAACAGTATGTATTCATTAATTATTTGAATTATTGGGGGTGAAATTATACCCCTTGACAAAATACAGTTCTAAATGAGTGTGCGTCCCACAGCTGCTGCTTTCCATCTGCAAGTTCCGATGTCATGCAGTCCGTGTGTGATGTTTTTAGGGCAGCCGGCTGCTCTTCCCTTTAGCGTAATGACACTGTGTTGCTTCTCCTTCTGGTTTTAGTAGGGAGTGATTTCATGTTGAGATAAGCATCTTCCATCACCCTTGACAAGGCTATTTAACAGGACCCGTGCAATTATTTGCACATTCAATGAGTCAGATTGTTAATCTTGAGAAGATAAAATCAGTACAATTAATCAGTTTAATTATGCTTATACTGCCACAGCTGGGGGAGGAAAAAAATACTACGGAAATATGCTATGCATGGTGTCTCGCTGCATTTATGATGTACTTATTTATACTTCAAACCCCACTGAGCAGCCTAGACTTTAAACTCATCTGAAAATACAGCAATTCCAATGCTTTCTCACAGCAACTTTTTGAATTGTATGAATTCATACGATCTTGTTCGTGCAATCTGGTTTGATTTGCTAATCCCCTAATTATCCAAATGTTGTTAGTTTTCCTATCACTGCTATTTAGCATTCATACATTACATTTATAATATATCAGTGAAGACTACAAAATGGTATATTTAAATAGAAGCTTTTAAATTATATTTTTTATATAATCTTTTAAATAAAAAAGTCAAAATATTGACCTGCACGTGTCAAAAGATCTCAAAATAATAAAGGATGTATTTTATAGACTTACAATTACTTATAAAATGTAAAATAATAAGCAATTAACTATGCCGTGATTCATGTATAAACCACATGCAAGCAGTTAAAATTGCAGTTAACACGGAATGGGTTTATGAGATTTAATTTGAGCATCAAGCTCTTTTTAACTTGATGCTTACTGTTTTTTTTTTTATTTTTTTTTTTTATGTGCTCGGGGAACCAGATGCAGACAAAAATGGCAAGACGATGAAGTTTATTTTCTTACATTATATGCTAAATATTTAGATAGATTATATAGTTTTATTTATAATTTATATTAATCACCAATGACTATGAAAGAAGTTGTGTTGAGTATATATGATCTTTATGTCCTCTCAAACCACTAAATATGACCCATTTTTAAACAAGATTTTTAAATATAAATGTTTAATTAATTAATTCATTTTCTTTTCAGCTTAGTCCCTTTATTAATCGGGTGTTGCCACAGTGAAATAAACTGCCAACTTATGTTTTATGCAGCTCATCACTGGGAAAAGGTTTTAAATAATTTATAACATAATTCCATTTAGCAGGATCTTTTTTTCTTTTTAAAAAATTTTAGGTATAGGCCAGATTTGGTATATTCTTTCATTGTTACTTACAGTAAATCTATTATACAGAATGATGATTGATTTTTCAGACAATTTAATTTAATATGCTTTTTTGTGCACTTCCAATCACTGGAAAATGGAATGTCAGTTTGGCAACTATGAAATATAGGATTTATAAACAGATATTGACATCTATAATTAGATCAATTGAATCAGTGTTTGATGGAAATGTTTAATAGACATTTGACATTTAATGAAATTTTTCGGGGGACTAAGCAGATAAGCACAAACTACATGCCGCCGAATGCCTCTCACAGGGCCCCAACAAAAGAAATCAACAGAGGTGCTCTAAAAGGTATTATTAGCCACAACGGGGAAATGAATTTGGATGTGATCCATTATCTTGTTTTTGTTTTGTAAGAGAATGTTCTAGGTTGGATGCACCGCAGCAAAAATAAGCCCCATTCAGGCTCAATTATTTGTTGTGAAGCTTATAAAAACACATACAACTGCATCACAAATCATGCAAATTTAAAAAGCTACTACATACTCACAAATTAATATTTACAAATAAAATTCATAACATTAGACATATCTACTAATTTTATGGCAAAAGATCTTTCAGCAGTGAGCCAGCTAACTGGCCAGTTATCAGCCTTTCCCTCAGCCATTCACGGCCCTCTGCCAAAGTCAAGCTCAGGGACCTCAGGACGGAGCACAATGTTTGTCAAGCCTGAATCCCATTTTACATCTAGAGCTGGTGAGAGATATGAAAGACTCCCAGTGGGCTCTCCGCGTGCTAACGACACCGTATCATGCAGCAGCAGGTCTGCCTGATTTTAATAACAGTTACAAACAAGGTGATTAGCACAACCATAGCAGCTGTGGATGATGCCACTGAGAGATGAAGGAAATAATCCCCCAGAGCCTCAGCAAACACACACACACACACACACACACACATACCACACACACTAACACACACGCACACGCAC